ACGCTCAAACTCTTCTATGGTCCAAACCAGCGTTTCCGCCAGGGGGCCGTCTTGCCGTCATTTGACGCCCTTATTTAGCTCGGGACGCCCTGAACGCGAGCCGAGTGCGTCCAAAAATATTAATAATTCGAGAGAAGATCGAGAGTTTTTATCGCTTGAAATGACGAAAAGGAAAAAGGACGAGGACATCCCGCTGTTGGGGGGGCAAAGGAGTCTGGTGGGATTCTTTTCGGAGTATTGAAGATCGTTTCCCCGACATCAAAGGTGCCTGCTACGGGACAACACGGAACGTGCGCGATTTGGACGCGATGAGCGGGGGTTTTTTAGTGGAGCACGCGCGTGAGCTGCGCCTGCGAGCACCAGAGCCTCGCAGCGGCGAAACTGAGGCTCCGTGGTAAACTGTGGTAACATGAAGAGCCGAAACAGCCGGCGCTTTAAGAGAGCCGAGCCAAATGATCCGGCTCACTAATGTAAAAAGACAGTATCTATAGACGGCTCAAGTCAAAATTCAAAACACCCCCCTCCCGGACGCCCTCTCAGCCCTGGTCTGGCGGAAACACTGACTGGTACATGTGGAGCACAGCACTTTTGATTGGTTACCAATGAGCACTTCTGATAGGTGTGGATGACTGACACACAAGAAGACTTGTTGACATTTTTTTTTTTTGCGCCATTTAAAATTGCGATTTCGATTTCGAATCGATTAATCGTTCAGCCCTAGTATTTAGCAGCATGGGCATAACTGTGGTTGTTATATTCTGAAGTTGTTATTTCAAATGTTTGACCCATCTCGCCTCTCTTCAGGTCCAACCTTTATCTTTGGAAGAGCTTCTCGCCAAGAAGAAGGCAGAAGAGGAAGCGGAGGCAAAGGTGGGAAGTCTCTTGAGTTCACATTGGTCCTCTTTTGAAATCTTTAGGATTATATTTTCCTCGCTTCATATTTGATTGTTTTTGCCCTTTTCAGCCCAAGTTCCTCTCGAAAGCAGAGCGAGAAGCCGAGGCTCTGAAGAGGAGGGAGCAACAAACCGAGGAAAGGAAGAAGGTGACGGAAGAGGAGAGGAAGAAGAGAAGGATGTTCCAGGACATGGGGAGAAAAATGATGGGTGTGTATTATCAGCCACTGGTTCATTGGGTTGTCTGCATTATGTTTGTGTAAGCATATTGATAGTAACTGATAGTGTGGGTCAACAGAGGATCCCCAGGAAAGAGAGAGGCGAGAGCGAAGAGAACGAATGGACCGAGATAACAACGGGAATGAAAACGACGATGGACGACAAAAGCTCAGAGAGGAGAAAGATAAAAGCAAAGAACTCCACGCCATCAAGGTCAGTCTCAGGAGAAAGTGCACCGAGCAGATCAAATGGTGGCTGTTGGAAGCAAACCTTATATAGATTTGCATTCGCCTGAATCTTAAACCCCATGATGACTGGATTTATGTCTCTAGCGGTGCGGGGTTTTGTTTAAACATCACCTGTACTGGTCAGTGATTGTAATCCCTTCCAGAGATTATTTTCTTCTAACCCTAACCTACATCATTGGTCCTCATGTCATGTATGTGTTTCAAAGTGGATCTGTGAGTTTGTTTCCCTGGAAAATAGAAACCTCGCTACATATTTATTGTTGGAAATTTGACATCTGTGAAAAAGAAGGGAAGGCAAAATAGTTTTTCACTAATCTGATAGATGGAAACTTTTTGGGTCCGGAAAAGAAAGCTAAGAACGTGGCACAAAAATGGAATCCAATCAGATTCATGTAATGAAATGGCAGCAAGGTTAAAAACAGAGATATAAATAGTCTATTTTCACTTTTCTTTTTGGAGTAATTATGTTTTTATGTAATGTAATTTGTATTCCATCATCACAAACTTTAAAGGTCCCATGTCATGGCTATTTCTACAGATCATAATTCCATTGTTGAGGTCTACTAGAATACATTTCTATTGTGCAATTTTCCAAACTCACATTGGTTTCTCATACAGCATCTCTGTATAGTATGTGTATTCACTCTCTGTCCTAAACGGCTTGTTGGAGCTCCTGCCCCTCCTTTAACATAACATTTAAAAAAACCTGCTGTGGATTCCTAAACATGACCAGACTAGATGACGACTCAACACGTGTAATTTACTAAATTACATATCTGACCCTTACAGGAGCGTTACCTGGGCGGGACCAAGAAGCGCCGGAGAACTCGTCACCTGAACGACAGGAAGTTTGTGTTTGAGTGGGACGCTTCTGAAGACACCTCAGTCGACTACAACCCGATGTGAGGAAACATGAACACAGTGTTCACTGAAACCGGTCTCTCTTTTAATTGAAGCGCATCTTTTGCCTTGTTTTGAATGTGTGTGTCTGAACAACTCGATGTTCCCACTCTGTCTCCCAGTTACAAAGAGAAGCACAGCGTGCAGCTGTACGGACGAGGCTTCATCGCCGGCATCGACCTGAAGCAACAGAAAAGAGATCAGTCCAATTTCTATTGTGACATGATGGAGAACAGACGAACGCTGGAAGAGAAGGAGCAGGAAGAGTGAGTAAAAAAACATCCACAGGATCAACTCTGTGGCTTTGAGGAGTTCACTGAGGTTTGCTTTCAAGAGCAACTTGAAGTGTTGAATGTAGTGTAGTGTCATCAGTGTAATGACATGCCACAGTGACGCATCCTAAAACCTGGAAGTAAGTTAGCATTTTCCACTTCCAGTTCCTTCGACAAAAAAGCAATGCAATTTCTCTAAAGGGTTTTGGAAAATAGCTGGAACTAAAGTCTGTGGTTGAGACACGTTTAAGAGACGGATCACGTTTTGTTCTACGACATTAAATACATCAGCAGTGACCAGCGTTTCCCCAGCAATTTTCCAAACTCACATTGGTTTCTCATACAGCATCTCTGTATGGAAAATTGCTGGGGAAACGCTGGTCACTGCTGATGTATTTAATGTCGTAGAACAAAACGTGATNTAACGTTATGCTATAAACGAACTACAGCAGGGTTCGCTGCTTCAACGTCACGCAACTTAAGATCCATATTCAAAAATACAGATTCTAAATTGTAGATGTTGAAGCGTTTGTTTGAACAGTTTGCAGGAGGCAGGTACTTGCTTTCAAGCAGAACAGGGTAAACAAACTTAGAGGAGTGTTTAAGT